GAGAGCTAACTGGATCCCAGGGGGCTAACTGGATCCCAGAGAGCTAACTGGATCCCAGAGAGCTAACTGGATCCCAGAGAGCTAACTGGATCCCAGGGGGGTAACTGGATCTGGATGATAGGATGGCTAACTGGATCCTAGAGCCTAATCAGAAATCAGAAGGAGTTGATTTTTAAAGGTGAAATCAGCGACCATCCTGCAGAGCAACAGAAAAGCCTGTGATGATAATCAGTGACTCTTAATATATCAGACAGGACAACATTACTTCACATCACACCATCCAAATCAACAGAAACTTACTCAGTAAGCAGGGAAAAACACCAAAGGATGCCTGAAAACAGAAGAAACCAAGATCCAAACCCGCAGCAGAGATTCTGCTTCCTGCTCTCTCTTCCACTCTGTCCTCCTCTCTTCATCTGCCAGCATGAACAGATGGGTCCTTTCTATTCTCCAGCTTCTTTTTCCTCAACTTCACCCCCCACCCTACCCCACCCCACCCACTGTCAAACCTATCATGATAAATGGAGGCAGACGCGCCTCTGTCCTTCCATAAAGACTTTACGGGTCACTTTGCTCTTTAAGAGCTTCAGCAAATATTCCACTGACATAGAAATGAAATAGATAGATGAAAACAGTTCTAGGCAGAATTATCCTGCAAACAGAAACCAGCAATGGTCTCAGGGAGGATTAGTGTGTGTTACACTGAAAAGGCAGGCTGGGGGGGGTCAACATCTGCATGTCTCTCATGATGCCATCAACATTTTCCTCTCAATCCTCTTAGAGGATTAAACAGAAGTAGTTTTTTTCTGTTTCTTTGTGTTGATGCTTCTGAACCGACTGTCGGACAGTGAAACAGGCGGCGCTCTGACCTCCACCTACCATCCGTCCCCTATGGACACATGCGTCCCACAGCGCCACCAGAGGACAGGATAAAGGGTGGAGTCATCAGCAGATTGGAGAGCATGTTCTGAGGTTTTTACTGGTTCATATTTTCCTTGTTGTTAAACAGTAGAGCCCATCAATACTAACCTCATTTCTTCCATTGTTGCAGCCGTCCCATTAACTCCCACTGGGACCATTATGCTCCATCTTATCTGCTGGTTCTGCTGCAGGACAGCGGCTGAAGGAGACCTGACGCTTCTGGGATGACCGGCTGATCGACACGTTCCCCTCAGACAGACGCTGTCTGCAGAGGAAGTTTACAGAGGCTTGAAAAAGCATCCAGTCTTTCCTAACTGGTTTTATTCAGTATATTCTGGGGATGTAAGCTAATGGACCGGAATCTAAAAGCACCAAAACATAAAGTGAAATAAAAGGAGGAGCTGTTTGTTCATCCAACCTAAAGCCAGTGCTAGGCCTTGGTTTAACCCCTCACTGTCAGAAACACCTTCTGGTCTCAGGTGGGTTCAGGTCTGACGGCTCAGACACATGGAGGAAGAAGCAGTGAGGGTTTCCTGGCTTTCTGCCCAGAGGGCAGGACCTGGTGGAGCAAACAGGTTATATGTCGGCCAAAGGCCAAATAAAGCACCGCCTCACCACATTTACAACATAAGCACAGTAAGAAACATCACAACTGCTTAGGATATGAAGTTGGAGTCTGATGTGGCTTCTTGGTCCTGAAGAAAAGTTTAAAAAGTTCATTATTTTAGATCAGAAAAGGAAGATTGGATATAGGTCTATAATTAACCAAGTCATCTGGGTCAAGAGACGGTTTCTTAAGCAAAGGTTTAATTACAGCAACCTTAAAAGCCTTTGGTACATATCCCTGTAACAGAGATAGATTAATCACATCTAAAATGGAGGAGGAGATCAAAGGGAATACCTCCTTAAATAACCTGGTTGGAACTGGATCTAACATCAATTTGAAGGCTTAGATGAAGACAATAATTTTGCTAATTCAGAAAGTTCAACTGGATCGAAGCAGTCTAAACCGGGTTCAGATTCCATGACTACCTCAGATGCTGCCCCACCTTCCAGAGACAAGGTTTTATTCAATGTTCACTGAGACACCTAAACTTTTACTTTGATGAACACAGTGGCAGCTCAGTGTTTCAGGCCTTGTTTATGGGGATTCAAAGGTTAGGGGTTAGGCAGGCTGCTGTTTTCCTTTTATTTCCAGCAAAACAAAACAAAAATCTATTCTGCAATTTTTTCTAAAACATTTAAGGATTTACATTTTTATTTAGGGTTTTTACCCCCCAGTTCTTTTTTTCCATAACAGCAAATAATCAGGCAGTTTTCTGATGTGTTTTTTCATTTTTATTAAGATGTCGTTCTTCATGATCAACAGTTTTTGTAGAATTAATCAGCTGCTCTTTGAGAACGGCCCTGATAGTACAGAAACCATAATTATGGCATCTTAGAAACGATGTATTGAAAGCCAGAAACACCTGTGTGTCTTTCGCTCTTCTTTCTGATCAGTTGTGAAGCTTCTTGGACCAAACCAAGCCTGACCTTCTAGAGCTCTACACCTCGTCTCAAAGTCTGAGATCCTCCAGTCAAAGGCCTGGACCCTGTAGAGCCGCAGCCCCACACTGTGCCATACGTTGCCCCCATCTTTGCGCTAACATGAACCTGGTGACTCTTTGAAGAGGCAACTGGAGGTGTTTTCATTCAGACTGACTCTTGGTGGTGTTTATGCTCTACGAGGTTGTATGTTTGCTATTCTTATTTTTATTTTAAAGTCTTGATGCTTTCTAAATAAAGCTTGTTTCTGAGTTTACTACCTTGTGAAAACGTCACTTCATTGTGAAATATTTAACACATCTGTTCTTAACGAAGCAGTAAATGGCTTTGGAAATATTGTCTGCACAGATAGCTCACATCCATGGGGTGGGGGGGTCTGAATCCTTTCACAATGCAACATTTTACCATTGAATGTTTCCTCTATCACCATGACAACCAGCCACTTCCTCCCATTGCAGCTGCTGGGGGGGTCAAAGGGTACTTAGGGTTAATGGATGGGGGATCTTGTTAAAAATGTGAAAGGACTTGTGTGTCTGTGACTGTGAAGGACTCGTTTAGTTGATGCGCGTAGCAACAGGAATGACACACTGTGTGCTGCCCTGTTTTCCCTCTCTGAGGTTCACCGCAGACGAGCATCCAGACCTCTGCAGGACATCTGCTTGGAGGCCAGAGCAGCTCCCAGAGTCTGTTATGATGTCATGTGATGATCCAATGCTGGTGCACCACCACAGGAGCACTGGCTTCAGATGTCACAACAACAAACAGACCAGTCTTTTAGTCCAGATCTACAACAGAAACAGGAGCGACTCGTCTCCTACCCAGTAGGCCCCATCTAAAGGTGGATAACCACAGCTCAGACCAGGTGATTGACAACTAACTAGCTCTACATTACCAAAGAAAACTAGTAAAATACAGACAAAAAGGTGGACACACCTTCACTGAGGTGCCAGGTTAGGATGACATCAGTGGCTGCCATTTGCTCACAGCACAAAATACAAGTTAAATTTACACGTATAAGGAAAAAAAGCACATAAGTTTGTCCTCACAGTAAAACAGCTTCTGACGTTTATCTATGCATGCATGCCTCCATAATACTCATACTGTAGAACTATAACACTCAGAATTATCTACTCAGGCCTTATTATGTTCTTTGAAATGTTCTGCTTCTGATTCTAAAAACATAAATATCATAATTGTATACAGTTAGAGCAATAATGGTGATGAAAAGCAGACAACCTTTGATTTTAATACCTTCCTCTTTACTTAACTGGAATTATACCGAATTGTGTTGTATAAAAAAAAATACTCGCACTTCATCCGATAAAAAGCAAAGAGAACTGAACAAACAGCAACAAAAGAAAAACCTATGGAGATGCCGGGGATTGAACCCGGGGCCTCATACATGCAAAGCATGCGCTCTACCACTGAGCTACATCCCCGCTGGAGAATACCGGCGACATGAGTGGATTTATAGCCGGGAAGAATCAGGGTCCGCGACTAAGGAGAAGTCTGTGTTTTTGCTGATTGTCTTGATGTCAAGTGGACCAGAACCGGGATCTGAGTTCCAACAGCACCTGGATCTGCGCTCCGGCAGGACCTGGATCTGCGCTCCGGCAGAACCTGGATCTGCGCTCCGGCAGACCGGTGTTATGCCGAGAAATGCATGCCTGCCGAGAATTGCATCCTCTCTCGCGGGAGCGCGCATTGCTCTAACTCTTGCATATTGATTAGCAAACTGACTGAAGAAGAGGAAACGTTTAAAGATATTCTTTACATCATCCCGCGAGAGGAAATGCAATTCTCGCCATAACACCTGGCCGTCTCTCTGATAGTGTGTCTAATGGACCACCAGGTGTCGCTGTGATCCACGGTGAAACCTTCCCCTGATTGAAGTCACAGGCATGGCTTTACATTCACGCGAAAACTTTCGTTTACACCTGGATCCCATGACGCAGGTGTGTTTTGCAGCTTCTGACGTAGCCAATGACCTGCCTCCTATAACTACCCGAGGAATTCACCTACAGCTGTTCACCTGTAGTCCATGGGCGGCTGCGGCAGGTGCGAGGAAGACTCTGGGTGAGGAAGGACATGAGGTTTTATCCCCTCCGAGTTGGATGTCTGTTGGCGGCCGCTTGTTTTCTGTCACTTTCTTGGATAAAATTCCAGCCGGATGGCGGAGGTATGTCAGTCATTACTACCTAATCTCTGCTGCTCTTTGACCTGAACAGGAAGGAAGCTGTTCTGGTGTGGAGATAATTCCAGACACAATCACTTCTAGTGGAGAAGCAGCAGCTTCACTCTAACATGAAGCCTTCTAGGCAGAAAACAGTCACAGCAGCTTTTCCAGGCTGAATCCAGGCTGGATGTTCATCACAGCCTGCAGACCTGTCTGGATGACGTCATCACAGCCTCTCTAACTTAAAGACAGCTTCAAACCCTCCCAGTCCTCCAGCGTCTGTAGGCTACAGGAGGTGATGAAGGGAGGCTGGAGATGGACAGGTGCTTCCTGAGAGGCGCCACAACTTTGCTTCTTCTCTAAATGTTTCTGATCTTTTCAGTGGAAAATCTTCCACACCAGCACACCTGGTCTGATTACTGCAGAGCAGCAGGATGTAGAGCTTCCAGTGAAACTGCCTGACAACATGAAGTAGGCTGAACCTTCCCACTGCTTCCTCCCTCCTCAGCACCAGACCTGCAGGCGCTGCACCAGAGGCTGTCGGTGGCTGAGGAGCTGGGAGGACAGGTCAGCAGGGACCTCAGCGTCATCCTGGAGCAGCTGGAGAACATGACCCGGTCCACCAACGCCAGCCACGGCTGGAGCAACGCATCCAGCAGCAACACGTCCAGCAGCAGAAGCTTCGCCTCAACCAGTAAGAATCACATCTGTTTGCAGAACGGATCCGTTCCCAGAGACCTTCCTGGTACATGCAGAGTATCATGGGAGATCCTCGGGTCTCTGGCTGAGCCGCCAGCTGCTAGAAGGCTGCATATGGTGGACCATCTCCATGGTTGGTCTGCACCAAGGGTCTGCAGTGAGACCGCTAGAAAGCAGGTGGATCCTCAGGTAGTCTGGATCCACCTATGGAAAGGAAACAAAAAACATTCAATCAGAACAGAAACTTTGTTATCCACAAAAGGTTTGAGAAGGCGAACTTTGCTTTTTTTTTTTTTTTCTTATTGATATATTTAACTAAATTTGAGTAAAATTAGTTATAAAGAACATCATTTAATTATTTCTAATGAAAAGTTGAAAATATACTTTTCAAATTGTATTTTTTAAATTTTCCTAATATGTATTTTCAAATGTTATATTTTCCGGTTCCTCATTTTCAGATTGAGTATTATGAAGTTTATTCGTAGATTTGATCTCCTCCCTTCTGGGGGCGGGCTTCCCTCTGCAGCCGCATTTCTATTGGTCTGCCAGACGCATTGTTCTGATTGGTCAAGAGCGAGCGTTTGGATTAGGCTGTAAGTGAAGGAAATGTGATCTGGAAAAGTCTGACCGTCCGCCCTAACCCCTACATCCCTCCATCACTATACACAGCAGGGACTATATAGTGAACTTAGTTAACTGACCGTTCAGACAGATGATCACTGCTCTTCGCTTCCCGCTGGTCATGTGACTCCGCCTCCCCGCACGGTGCCTGCGCCATCTTTGTTAATAGTCGCTGCTGTGGGGTAGAGACAGCGGGCCGCATTTTTGAGGAGAGCTCTCCTTCCAAAGCATCTTGGGATATATCTGCTGTCTAGTGACCATGGATGGTTTTCAAGGTGCATCGTGGGAAATTTTGAGTCCACTACTTATTCATTCAGTAGAGGTTGGGACACTCATCCAAAATGGCGTAACCAGTATGTGAGGATTAAGGCGGACATTCGGACACAGCCAGAATCTGAATAGATGCAGAAACTCAACCTGAAAGAGAAACGTCTGAAAATATAAAAATATTTAAAAAGTAAAAAAATGTACTGAGAGAAAAGAGCATTTTTCTAAACCAGCTGTTTGCTTGAAACGATAAAGGAGCAGAATTCCCTCTATAGCATAGAGGTGCTGGTTCTGTTGGCTTTGAGGTTGTGGCTCGGTGGAACTGGATCCGTTCCCATCAGTTCAGAACTGAACCTGCTCAGAACCTGAAGCTGGGCTGCTTAGAGTCCAGACCCAGTCTGGGTCCAACAGAACCAGGTTTTCTCGTGGTGGTGGACCTGAGCCAGCAGTCAGGGGAGCTTTAGGCACCAGCAGGCCGTCTCTCCAGGTTCTATGGAAATTAGACCTGTGGTCTGGCTGTGTGCCAGCCTTCGTTTCCCTGTATTCTGATTTGCATACTGGTTTCTTTCCATAAAAGTTTAAAGATAGCCATGCAAACTGGGAGCTGACCAGTGCATTGTGGGATGTTTCACTGCTGCAGAAACCAAGAACCAGAGCTCATAGTCTGGGCCGGGCGGACCGGGCCAGACCGGACAGCACAGCACCCTAACTCTGCTGCTAGATTGACTGTAACATTTACTAACAGCTGATTCAAAGGAATCGGGTCTCTGCAGAATGAATCGGGTCTCTGCAGAATGAACCGTGTCTCTGCAGAATGAACCAGGTCTCTGCAGAATGAACCGTGTCTCTGCAGAATGAACCGGGTCTCTGCAGAATGAACCGTGTCTCTGCAGAATGAACCGGGTCTCTGCAGAATGAACCAGGTCTCTGCAGAATGAACCGTGTCTCTGCAGAATGAACCGGGTCTCTGCAGAATGAACCAGGTCTCTGCAGAATGAATCGGGTCTCTGCAGATTGGACCGGGTCTCTGCGGAATGAACCGTGTCTCTGCAGAATGAACCGGGTCTCTGCGGAATGAACCGTGTCTCTGCAGATTGAACCGTCAGTAGAACTTCTGGACTCCTCCTCTCCTTCCAGACACTCTGCTCTCTAATCTTCTTCTTCTCTAACAGTGAAGCAGCTGAAGTCTGAGCCTAGCAGGCTCCAGGGCAACATGGAGCTCTACATGCCCCACCTCAGGGAGTATCCTGACAGCCTGCAGCCCCGTGTGGTGTTAGGGAGGGGGCGCCGTGGAGGTAAGGGGCGTCCCACTGACACAGCCCTCCCCTCACTATGCATGGCTGATGTTGATGATGGTCTGGGTGTTTCCCCCCTCAGTGACCTTAGTGCTGGGCATCCCTACAGTGAGGAGGGAGAAGCAGAGCTACCTGGTCAGCACCCTCAGCTCGCTACTGACCAGCCTGACCTCCTCAGAGAGACGCGACCTCCTCATCATCGTCTTCGTTGCCGAGGTAACCTTCAGCTGCTGAAAAGGTTCCTCCTCCTCCTGCTGCTGTCAGAGGATGGAATTCTTGATGCTCCCCATGTGACCCGCTCGATAACTCCATCTGAAACACATCATGACTCTTTTATTTTTCACACTGTTTCCATGCCAGTGAGGCTGAGGTGAAGCCCACTGACCTGCAGTGTGCAGCAGCAGGGCTGGGCTCTACTCATCAGTAGAAGCTTCCAGCTGTGTCTGGCTGATGGAAAGTTCTAGCTTCTTCCCCCTGCCAGACCTCAGATCTCCTGGAAACTGTTGGTTTTTCAGATGACCTTTGACCCCCGCAGCAGGTTTCCTCTGACTGTTAAAAGCTCAGATGGATTCCTGCCGTCTCTGAAGGAGGCATGGAGGGAGGGTTCCTACATGCAGGTCCACAGCAGGTCTGGTCGGCGCCTGAAGGGCACACCTCCTCCTCCTCTTCCTACTCCTCTTCCCTTTCCTCCTCTTCCTCCTCCTCTTTCTTTTCCTCCTCTCCTCCTCCTCTTCATCCTCCTCTTCATCCTCTTCTTCTTCCTCCTCCTCCTGCTGCTGCTAGAACATGCTTCTCCTGTTCTCCTGTGGGTCTGTAGGGTGAACCCATGTGAGCGGCCGCCCTGAGGTCGGAGCCTCGCTCCTTCCTGAGGTGTTCAGGCTGACGTCTCCTTTGTTCAGGACGTAGCATCACTAAGCTCCCTTTGTTCCTCCCTTCACACAGACGGATGTGGAGTATGTGGACAGCGTGGCTGGCTCCCTCTCTGACAGGTGAGTGGCTCCCATCAGGCCCACAGACCAGCCCATAGAAATGAAATCAATTGTTTCCATTCCAGCAGCCGCAGTGTCTGAATCTCTCATAGATTTCTCTTCATCTAATGATGGAGAATATGAACCCAGCCAGTTGGATCCCAGTAAGACCAGTAAGAACGAGGCCCCGTCAGAAAGGTTTGCTGCCTGAGGGCCGATCAGCGTTAAGGTGGAGGTCAGCTAGCCAGGAGGAGCACACATCCATCTCAATCCTTCAGTATTTCTGCTGGGTTCTGGGTGGGATGAAGGAAGCTTTTGGTTACCATCATGGTGTTACCCTTTGCACTCCCTCTCCAATGGCCGATACCTGTCTATGTCTCTGAATGACCCCCCCTTTCATAGACAGGTATGGGGCATTGCAGACTACCAAAGAAGCCAAACGACCCCCATTCCAAAGGAATGGACCCGTTCGTTGGACAGGCCAGTAATCACTGAGTGAGGCGACCTGAGGCTTCTTTGGGACTGGAATAATGGAGGCAGACTTAAAGCATGCTGGCACTACGGATCGGTCCAGCCGGCTGAGTTCGGTGCTTTTAGTGATTTCTGAACCTCCCCATTAATCCAGGGTGGTTGGTTGGCCTGGGTGGTGATGTTCTTTGTGATGCTGACGTCCCTCAATGCATTTCTTAATGTAGGCTATACAGTCATAGCATACTCATCTAAAGTGGTCTTGTTGTTACAAGGTTACTGCAGCTTTGAACATGTTCCAGTTGGAGCATTCACAACAGTCCTGGAGTTTCTCCATGGAGCCCTCAGACCAAGGGTGTAACTTTGTGATAAAAATTGGTGGGGGCGCTCTAAGGGTGGAGGCACTCCTACGGTGGAGGCACTCCTACAATGGGGGCACTCCATGGGTGGGGGCACTCTAAGGGTGAGGGCACTCCTACGGTGGAGGCACTCCTACGGTGGGGGCGGACTAAGGGTGGGGGCACTCTAAGGGTGGAGGCACTCCTTCGGTGGAGGCACTCCTACGGTGGGGGCACTCCTACGG